TGAGCCCATCATTGCAGCCATGTGTAATCCATCTTGCTGAGGGCTTTCTCCTCTTTCATGAACCATCCACCTTACCAAGCATGATATCCTTCTCCAGGAAATGGTTCCTTCTTACAACATGACCAAAGTAGTAAGATGAAGTCTGGCCATTCTCGCTTCCAAGGAGCACTCCAGCTGCACTTCTTCCAGGACAAATTTGTTAATTCTTTTTAGCAGTCCATGGTACTTTCAGCATTTTTGCCAGCATAACTCAAAAGCATCGACTCTTCTTCAGTTTTCCTTAATCACTGTCCAGCTCTCACATACATATGAGGCAATTGAAAATACCATGGCTTGTGTCAGTTGCACCTTAGTCCTCAAGGAGACATCTTCGTTCTTCAGCACTTGACAGAGGTCTTTTGCAGCCAATTTGCCCAGTGCTATATGTCATCTCATGTCCTGACTGCCGCTTCCATTGGTGTTGATTGTAGAACCAAACAATATGAAGTGTTTGACAACTTCAATCTTTTCTCCATTTATAGTGATGCTGCTTATAGGTCCAGTTGTGAGGATTTTTGTTTTCTTTATATTAGAGGTGTAATCCATACTGCAGTCTGTAATCTTCAATCTTTATCAGTAAGTGCTTCAAGTCATCCTCATTTTCAGCAAAGTTGTGTAATCAGCATATGGCAGGTTGTTAGAGTCTTCCTCCAATCCTGATGCCATGTTCTTCTTCATATAGTCCAGCTTCTCAGATTATTTGCTCAGCAAACAGATTCAATAAGTATGGTGAAAGATACAACCCTGACACACTCCCTTCTTGATTTTAAACCATGCAGTGTCCCCTTATTCTGTTTGAACAACAGCCTCCTGTTCAATGTACAGATTTCTCGTGAGCATAATTAAGTGTTCTGGAATTTCTAATCTTCTCCATGTTACTCATAATTTGTTATGATCCACACAATGGAATGCTTTTGCATAGTAAATAAAAGACAAGTAAACTTTTTTTTTTTTTTTTTTTGATTAGTTGACTCAAAAGATAGTCCCTAAGAAGTGGATTCTCAAAGTGATGCTATTTCCTATCCTTTGTAACAGATCAGCTACCTCCCTGACATGGCTATGTAGAGCTGCCTCCGGGAATGAGAATTTAATCTGCTCATTCACTCATTCAACAAGCATTTGTTGAGTACCTCAGACACTCCATAGACAATGTTGAGACAGATCTGATACATGTCTTTATGGAGATTTATGGAGACTTTAATCCAGTGTGGAACAGATAAACAACAAGAAAACAAAACAAAACAAAACAATGTAAATTACGATAATGGCACCAAGTTCAGTTAAAAAGAATAAGTGAGGAACTTGCATAATCAGGGGTGGGGAGAAGCTTCCCTGAGTAGATGATATTTAAACCAAGGACTAAAAATAAGAAAGCACAAGTCATGTAATATCCAGGAAAGAGCATTTCAAACAGAGAATAGGTAGTCTCCATTAAGAAAAGCAAAAATAGAGTGATTTTCTCAGTTCAGGGTTTAGAAATAGCATCATACCCACTTATGTAAAGAAGGCAACGATATATATGGATTGAAGAAATCTGTACCCTCATAGACAAAAATGAGACAATCCAGCTCTGAGTATACTTGTGAATATTCTACCAGAGAATCACTTTTAGGATCAGTTCCCCTACATATGCACAGTGATTTTCCCTTTACAAGTCTTGTAAGTGTTGCTTTTCCCATCGGGAGTGCCTGCCATCATCTTACAAAATTCCTACCTATTCTCCTGAGGCTCAGTCCAGCCCTGTCTCCCCCACTAAGCCTTCTCAGACCACTCCAACATTTTGTTTTCTCTATCTTCTCAGAATTTCCACAGTCCTTCATTTTCATGTACAAGCTCTGTGCAATGTATTCTTTGGGTGTGCGTCCTGCTCCCTTCCCATGATTTGAGGATAGGCACCAAGTCTTTGTGCCCCACACCCTCCAATTTTTCACCCAGTGCCTGGTATCATCATGGAATATTTGTTCAGCAAGCACTTTCAAATCTAAACAGACAGCCCACCTACTTCAAGAATTTCATACATCCAAAATTCAATATTTTTGAGGGAATTTGGCCAAGTGTATACAAATACATATGAGAAAATGACTTAAAATCTTACATATTCTTTCCTCCATGTGTGTACCTCAGTATACTTTCCATGTAAGCAAAGCCCACAGCAAAATTTCCCCAACCAAAGTTCAGGGACCAGCAGTTAAGAGGAAAGTGTCCAAAGTTAAGAAAACGAAATCCCAAACTAAATTTCTTCTACGTCAAAAAACAAAACACCAAAGTTCTAATCATTTTTACAGTACAAAAATTTTATTTCTTATTAGGATAATTTAAAGTTTAAAACTGAAGTAGACATATTCATTTTACAAACAAGATATTCTTTCATAAGTAAGACCATTAAAAACAGTAAACAAAAAAAGCTGTCTTTACAAAAAGCTCTGTGCATAGCAACTTTATACTGTATATAATAACTGACAAAGCAAAATGTTAAACTGAAACTATACAGTTGAAAATGAAACTTTACTGTACAAAAGGTAGAGAAGATAATGGTTTTTAAACCATGCATATTGAAATGTGCAAAGAAAAACTGGGAAGAAATATGATGTTATAACAAAAAAATGAGATAAATAATGAAATAAGTTGCCCCTTTAAATGAAAATTCTTACACAGCTCCTCTTACAAAGATAGGATAGAATTTGTAGTTATCTATAGAAATACTCGTATTCCAAGTGGCACAAAAAATAACCTGGGACTGGGATGATTCAACAGCAATGACTAAAGAGGACAGAGAAACTTTGTTTTAATTTATTATTACACTAAAAATAATCCTTACACACATTTGTACAATTAAATAGATCTGTTGCTGCCAAGGTTCTAGCTGAATGGTCAAGGATGTCTGGTATTTAGTTACACACATTTTTCGGTGTAAAGCTACCAACAAATTCTACAATCATTTTGAAGACAGTACTGCACTCATCTTCATGCAAGAGCAAAATTCACAGATTCTAAAAGCAATGCTACTTAAAAAAAAAAAAAATTTTCCTTATGTTGGATTGGCTCAACTCCAGGCCTAAACATGCTTAATTTTATTCTGCCTTCATATTTGGATAGTAATGTTTGTATTCCACATGCTATTCCCCTCCCATAAGATTTTTCACTGGGGAACTTTCTCTCATGTGTTTCCATGTATTTTGGCGCTTTAAACCCTGACTGTGAGGGATTGTCAGCAGTAGTTATCAGCATGCCAGTTTTCCAAAACCTTGGATTCTCATGTGCATAGAAATAATATTTGGGTCACATTGGGTAATTTCAGAATGGATTAAAGGCAAATAAGACAGTTAAAGTTTGATAGGTGTGGGGATGTATCAAGTGTGTAAAAGAAAGGGATGCAGAATTTATGAAGTCATCTAACGTTGACTCAGAATCACTAAAGATGTTTTCCATAAGAGGTGCATCAATTGCTAATGTTAGAACGCAAACTCCAAACTGAAGTCCATGTAGTCTTTATTGTGGTACGAATGAGTCAACAAGGAGAACCCTGGCTTAGGAAAATATGCCATCCTTTATGGGTGATCCAAATCAATCTGGGTGCAACTCCAGGATCACACAGGCTTTCAAGTACACCTCTTGAAAACCAGCCCCTGTTAGCTGCTAGAGAGCCCTGGTGGTGTAGTGCCTAAGGCATTTGACTGCTAACCAGAAGGTTGGTGGTTCAAACCCATCAGCCACTCTTTGGAAGGGAGACTGGGCAATCTACTTCCACAGAGACACCACCTCAGAAACCCAAGGAGGGGACGCTACAATGGCGGTGAGTGTTTTTTTTTTGTGTGTGTCGTTGTTGTTGTTAGCAGCTACTACAAGGTTTTCCTCACTAAAAGCTACTCACAGAACTACAAGGAGCCCATCAGAGAACTGCATACCTGTACTGCTTAGACCAGATTCCCCTAATCTCAGAATCTGAGAAGAATCTGGTTTTCCATTTCTTTGACCATTATGACAGAGACTTAGTGCCTTTAACATTCCTCTTCCTATCTTCATACTCCATCCCATTCTTTACTTAAAACAAGTTGCTTATTGGATACTTTTTTTTTTTTTCCTAAGAGAGGTTTAATACCACAGAAGGGAAAATTTGCAGAGAGAGAAAAGAGTTGGACATCCTAAAATTGACCTTTAAGAGTCCAAAACACAGAAGCCGTCTTTTTCAAACCCTGTTTCTGCAGCTTTGTGGGCTTCACGCCTCTGTGCTGAAACAGGCAACCAAAGAGGAGGGAATGGGTAGCTCCTGTGAAGAATTCCAAAGGGGCCCCCTAGTTGAGGATGTCATGCAGCTTTGACTCTTCTTTAAGTGGAGACACTTCTTTCCCTGGGATGCTAAAAGCCTGGGCATTTCCTGCACTGCCTAGGGGAGAATGCTGAAAGCAAATACAAA